CAGCATCACCACCAGCATCACCATCACCACCATCAGCATCACCATCAGCATCACCACCAGCATCACCATCATCACTACCATTGTCTCCACCATCAGCATTACTATCACACCATCATTACCACTGCCATCACCACCATCACCATCAGCATCACCATCATCACCACCATCACCATCACCACCATCACCATCACCATCATCAGCATCACCACCACCACCATCAGCATCACCACCACCACCATCTGCATCACCACCATCATCACCACCAGCATCACCACCATCACCATCATCAGCATCACCATCATCACCATCAGCATCAGCATCACTATCAGCATCACCATCATCACCATCAGCATCACCATCACCACCATCACCATCATCACCACCACCAGCATCACCATCAGCATCACCACCACCATCACCATCATCATCACCACCAGCATCACCATCAGCATCACCATCAGCATCACCATCATCACTACCATTGTCTCCACCATCAGCATTACTATCACACCATCATTACCACTGTCATCACCATCATCACCACCATCACTACCATTGCCAACATCATCATCATCATCACCACCACACCTTCATCCTCTCTGTTATCATCACCTGAGCAACCCCTTGCTCAGGCTGAAGCCCTAAGAGGCTGATAGGTTTTGCCATAAGTGGCAAAGGGATAATTTTGGAGGTTCACTTGGCCATACTGAGCAAGTTGGGGACTAGCCAGGGCCAGGAGGAACAAGAAGTGGTGCCCAAGCTGGCAGCAGCCCTTGCCAGCCCACTCATACATCCAGCAGTGCTGTGGTTGAACCCTGTGGTAGCCAGTGCGGCTGGGGCCCCACTGTGGTGAGGGAAGTGGGAAGCACAGCCAGGAAGGGGTCTCCCTGTGACCAGCCAGCACCTGCACCCAGGAAAACTCGGAAAGCTGAGAGGCAAAGACACACGTTGGGGCCAGGGTCTTTGCAGGAAGCCACCCCTCTGTGCCTATTTTCCTGAAAAGCCCATGTCTGTGGAGACTGAGAACACAGGCCTCACACCTTCCCTAAGGCTTATAGCAGTTACCATTACCACTCACTGGGCCAATGGGGCTCTGCCAGATGCCCACAGTGGCCATTGTCCAGGGGGGTGTCTCAGGCACTTTGATACCTGAACTACCATGGCACAGATGAGGAAACTGAGTCTCAGAACTGCATCCACTCCCCAATCCTTCAGAGAATGGATTGGGGAAAGGAACCATGGGGGCAGAAGGGGCAGGGGAGCTGAGAGGTACAGATCAAGACTCCTGCAAGCCCCTGCCAGCCCCTGCCCTCCCTGGCCCAGTCCTCAGCCATATCCTTCCCGCCTCCCTGTGTGCACCCAGTACTATAGGAGGAAGACCGAGGGCTACTTACAGCTGGTACCAACAGGTCCCAGGACCTGCTGTGTGCACACCTCCCTGCTAGCTCCATTCTGCACTTGCTATAGATGCCCCCAGCACTGGCTTAGGAAGGGTGACTCCATACTGTCACTCCCTCTTCCCTGAGACTCCAGGGCTTCCCAGTCCAGGGCAGAACCACAGTTTTAGGAAATCTGTCCCAAGGGACCAAACGGGAGTAGGGGGACCGTAGTCACTGGTAAGTAGCTGTGGGACTCAGAGACCCACCCAAGGGCTGGCTCCCATTCCCAGTCCTGTGCCTCCATCCACCCAAAGGAGGGATGGAGCCGTGGGGGCAGAAGGGGCAGAGGAGCTGGGAGGTATAGGCCAAGACTCAGGTACAGGCCTCATGGCCATCACCCAAGATAACCACAGAACAGAGTCCTGAACCCAGAAGGCTGGACCAGGATTCCCATATCTGCAGGCCTTTTAAGAACACATCAAAGTGTTGGATGTTGCTGGGAAACACTCTACATCCTCCCAGAGATGGCTGGGGGGCAAGGAGGGTTCAAATGGCCTCACCCAATCTTCCCAAGGACACAGAGGTGAAGAGGGCCTTACCCAGCCAGCACCAAGGGGGTAGTCAAGAGTGTGGTGATAGGCAGCACCAGCACCAGGCCCTTGGGGCCAGGCCCACCCAGCCACACTCCCTCAGCCAGGGAGAACAGGGAATAGATGGGCTCAGGACCACCCACCCAGAGAGATGCAAGACACCTCCAGAGAGTCCTGAGAGCTACTTTCCAGCAAGCTGGCTAGTGTCCCTACATAGAGTCCCCTCCTCCAGGCGTGGCAAGCAGACCACCCCACCTGGTGCCCAATGTCTGGAATATACCTCCTGACCAATGGCCCAGAAGGGCTGCCTGGGGCAGAGCCCAACCCCTGAGCCCAGTGGAATCCCTGTGAGCCACAGAAGGGGTGTGATGAAAGGGACAGGCCCCAGGGAGCTAGGAACTGTGATCAGCTGCTATGTGGCATCCTCCCACCTTCACCTCTCCAAACAGAGACTCTAGCCCTGGGGGCTGGCCAACACTGGTGGGCCAGGCGAATGTCAAGCTTCCCTAAAAACAGAAACTCTATGGTGATAAAAGATGCTCTAAGTAGCAACTGCCATGGACCAGATATCTGGTCCACACGCGCACCAGGCTAACAGTTTACTGCTTGAGCTCACAGAAGCATCACAACCAGACAGCTGTCCCCAACTGCAGAAGAGCAACCAAGGCTAGGGGCAAGGTGTTTCCAAACCCAGGGCAAGCACGGCCTGGCCAGGACCAGAGGTCCAGCTTCCTGCCTCCCATGCCCCCAGTACATGTCACTCTTTGGCCACCAGGGTAGCCAGGGACAGCAGATGCCCAGGGCCCTATCAGTTCCAACAGTGAGGCCCACCGTAGGGGATGGACACCAGCCCAGGGACCTGGAAGGATGCTCACCTCTCCAGGGCTTGGCAGGGGCTCCTGGGTGCTGTGGCCTCCCTTTCAGGCCGTCCCCCTGAACTGTCCCCAATACCTCCATGGTGCCTGCCTAGACCTTTGAGGAGGGTGCGCAGGAAGAAGGGGAATTCCTGGAAAAACCCCGCCTGCTCCACGGCCAGCCTGGGAGGTGAGGGGGCCCCCAGCCTGTGGGCTCTTGGGTGCAGTTTCTCTTCAACAGGAAAAGAAATGATTCTTGTTTCATTTTGAGCCATGTTGCTCTCAGTGGTTCGGAGGCCCCTGCCACCCGCCACTCTGTCGTGGAACACTGTGCTTTCCGCCACCCTGCAGAGCTGTTTTTCTCTCTGGTTTCATTTGCCTCTCCAGCTGCCTTCAGGAACGCACACACAGACACACAGGCCAAAGTCCAATCACATCTCACCCACCTGTAGCAAAGCGTGGAAGGCACAGGGTGGTTAAGTCAGGGACTCTGGAAAGGTCAGGGCACAACTCCTGGGGCCCAGTGTGGGGCTGGCCTCTCCTGGGGACATTCTCGAGTTCTCCCACGGCAGGCTGAGCATAACCATAGGCAGACGTGGTCTCAGATGCTCAGAGAGGCCAGGCATGACCACCCAGGGCCATGCAGTGGACAGAGGCAGGCCCTAGCAGGGAATCCCCAGAGGGCAGAACACTGGCTTGGCGCCCAAGGTTGGGAGCCAAGTCCCCTCCATTGGGTCCCAGCTTTCCAAGAATCCCCTGCTGCCGTACCATACGCCCTGGCCCACCTCAGCAGGTAGGGTACAGTCCCCATGGCGGAGGCTCACCCACGCCTCACTGACTCAGATAGCAGAACCCAAGCTGGTGCCCGTCATGTGCGGGGGCCTGGCTGGTGGGGTGTCTGCAGACCAGGGACAGAGCCCCACCCACAAGACAGACCGAAAACAGGATGTTGGCCCAATGAGCGGGGCTTCCCCGTCCTATCCACAGCATGGATGCCCGCCCGGTCCTCACAGCAGAGCCCGCATGGCAGCTCGCTGTGCAAGCAAAGGCCTGACCCTCTCTCCTCACCTGCCCTACCCCTGTGGCACCACAGCAACCACCACAGAGTTCAGGCTCAGTGCGACCTTATACCCTGCTAAAGACCTGGGTCAGGTATCCCCTAGGCACCTGGCACACCTGGGCCCAATGCTGATGGGATTGATTCCCTGGCTGAGAATCTGACCAACAGTACAGCCACCACTTTCAAATTTGCTGTGTGCCAGACACTCCTCCCCTTTCTGTCCCACTGCCCAGGGAAAGGCGAGTGGGCTCTACTCCACACCAGGGAAGCAGGGACCCAGGAGGCTGAGGGGAATCTGGTCTGGGGAATCTAGGAAAGTGCAGAGTCAGAGCCACAGACGACTTCAGAGTAGCCACCCTTGTCCTTAGGATCCTCACTGTGTCCCTTCCCATTGATCAAGGGGCCACCCTGGTAGCAGGAAGAGACCTGAGGATGTACAGGTGGCAGGCAGCACCTGTGTCCTTGGCCCCTGCTTCAATAACCTGAGCTGGGACTACAGTGAGCATCATGGTGGCACCAGACTGACCCGCAATCCACAGGGCCTCTGGGGGAAAGGGGGAGCAATGGACACTTGGCCATCTGTCATGGAAATCTCCCTCTGAACTCTGCCTGACTGTGCCCCCATCCACATCACCATTTCCACCAGAATGCCCACCAGCCCCTTGTGTACAGATAAGAGCCAAAAGTAGCCAAGTTCAGACCTGGCCAGGCCATACCCAGCTCAGCAAACCCTCTCCACTGCTGTCCCCTTCCTTGGTCACTTGGAAGGGTGGCCACTGTCTACTCTATCATCACCAGAACTTTCCAAGGCCCCCAACGTACCTCTAAAGTCCAAAGCCCCCAGCCCAGAGGGACCTGAGCCCTGGCTACCAGGGACTGGCCTCTGCTACCCCCCACCCCAGCACCCTTACTGGTCTGTTTGGCCTCACCAGCACCCATTCCCTTGGATTCCATGAGCAACCCTCAGGGGCTAAGGCTAAGGTCAACACAGGGAAAGGGGAAATCCAGCAAAACTGCAGGCCCCTTATTCACACCTCTCCTGGCAAATCTGTGAAAACCGTTTCCATGAAATGTTAACAGCATGCACTGGGGTAGGGGAAGGGGAGCAGGCTGGGGACATCCACAACCAGACAGGCGACCAAAGTGGCTCGGCACACCAAGGAGCCCAAGGCTCGGTGGGGATGTGAGGGGACCCAGCTAAGGGGCAGATGAAGCCAGATGCAGATGCCCCAAGGCCATAGCCTTGGAGGAAGCCAGCCAGGCAGGCAACAGCCATGCGGTCACACACCCTGCAGGGAGCACAGGGGAGATGGCTAACACAGCACCTGGTAGGAGCAGGGTGCCCAGAGGCTCCCGAGAACCCCCACACACTGGACAACCGGGAAACCCTGAGCAGCTGGCCCTGAGAGCCCTCAGCTGTCTGTCACCTGGCTAGTCAGGAGAATGGGGCAGAGAAAGAACAGAGTGCAAGCTCAGGACCACATCCCCTACCCAGACTCAGGAAGACTACAGAACAGGCCAGGAAAGCCTGGTACGCTCGCAGCAGCTGCACTGACCCCAGAAGCTAAAAACTCACTTGATTTCTAGGAGCTGCCCTTGCTCAGGGCCTACTGACTCAACTTTCTGCATGCTGCTAACATGCTGCTCTGGATGAATTCCCAAAGAGCAAGCAATTGGAAAAGCCAGAAATAATAAACAGGAGGCAATGGGAGGTGCTGAGCCCAGGGACACACAGCAGGCTCGTGGTCCCCAGCAGGTCACCAGGACACCACGCAGGGCAAGGCACACTGTGTGCCTGCCACAACCAGACATCGCAGGATGCAGGCAACGCTCGTTCACAGCACTTTACAGGCTGCCCTATTCCAGCTATTTGCTCCAAAACCAAGTGACCCCCAGCGACTGCCCACCAGCCTCATCTGACATCTACCACCAACCCATGGGCTGAGGTGGGTGGGCTAAACACCTATGTAAATTGCAAAAGGATTTTCAGCGGCCAGGGGGAAGCAAGTTGGCCTAAGCTCTCATCCCAGCCATCCAGGTGTGATTTTAGTCCTCAAAATCACAAAAGTCCTCCCTTTAGTCCTCCCTGAGGCCTTGGGAAAGTCACTCCATGGCCCTGAGCCTCAGTTTCTCCTGGAACGTGAGATGGCTGTGGAGACAGGAATCTCCACATGGGCCCCAACACTTGGCGTGTGCCTAGTAACAGACACCAGGTCATGAAATAGAGAAATGGGACATGAGCCAAGCCACGGGCCTAGGAGCCTGTTCTGGCCTCCCCCTGCATGACTGAGTGGGGACTGATGCCTTAAGACTCAAGCCTCCAATTCCAGCTCCCCTCCCCACAGAGAAGGGCTGCCAGATGGCAACAAGGCTGCCTGATCCGTCTCCTGTCCTCACCTCCCACCCACACCACAAACACAGCAGCCAGAGCAGGGACCCTGAGCAAAGGCCGGGCCATCCACCCAGGCCTGCTTCAGGCAGCCAAGCCTCCTGCCACTCCCTCCAGAGTGCTAGCCCAAGTGGATGGGGCTGGGTCCGCTGCACCCTTCCAGCTAAGGTCCCTGCCACTCACCCAGTCTCAGTTTCCTCACCTGTGAAAGTACAGCTGAGCCAGACCCCAAGGGATCTTCCATAGAGCCTCAGAGAGGTGAACAGAGAGAAAAGTCAACCACTCTCCTGCCCCAGCACAGAGCCTGGAGCCCTTGTCTTTCTTCCAGAACAATCCAGTCTGGAAAGGACCCTCTGGCCCAGATACCCAGGGAAGGATACAGAGCTCAGCAGTCCGGACCTCAGGCTGTGCAGTCTCGTAAGATCAAGGGTTGATGAGCTGTCCAGAGGTAGCCAGGGGGGTAGTAGATACCCTCAGAGCCCCCAGCACAGCCAGGCACACAGTGTGTGGCAGCTGAGGCCAGATGAAAACCACACTCCATGGAGGTGAGCCTCCGGCCCCCAACTCCTGCCCAGACCCTCGTTTCCTGGGTCTTCTGCCCTCACCCCCAGCAGACTTATCATGAGTCTTGCATCGACAATAGGCACCTCCCAGGCCACATGGACCACCGTGCCCACCAAACCCAGCCCTCACCTGCCAGCCACCTGTGGTCCCCCACCCGCCAGGCCAGGCCACCTCCTGAAAGAGTGGCAAGGAGGTGCAGCCTCATGGCGAGAGCAGGGGAGAGGTCCCACCACGGTGGTGGCCCCCTCAACCCCCGGCCCGCTGGCTCAGGGTCCCACAGCCTTGGGCGATGCAGTGTGGCGGCTTGGGTAGGATCCTAGGGGAAGAGTCCAAGAGAGCCGGCGTCCCCTCAAGGCAACCTGGAACTGGCTGGGTGCAAGTGGCACTCACTGGCCCAGCAGCCCAGTTCCCCTTTCCTGGGGCCACCCAGCCCACCACCCTCGCCCAGACACCTGTGACCACAGGCCACTCCCTTTGGCCAAAGCCAAGAGCTTCTTGGAAGAGGACAAAGACCCTGGCCTCATTTCCTCAATCCGAGGCATGACCATCACAGCCTACAGCTGGTGCAGCAGAGGCTGAGGCAGGGGGAAGGCCAGGCAATGGGTAGACCCAAGTTCAAGTCTAGCTCCAGCATCAGCCAGCTACCCAGCTGCAGGCAGATCAGCTGACCAGGCTAATCTGCTTCCCGTCTGCATGCTGGGGGACCGTGGGAACAGGCAGGAAGGACCTCACCCCTCATGGCCCCGCACCTCCCTCCAGCTACACATCAAAGTCATTTCAAGGCACAGAATATCTTTTGGTGGCTCATCAGTCAAGGGCCATGCCCAAGGCCAGCAGTGGATGGTGGGGGCCAAGGGCCACAGCCTCATTCTTGCCAGGCCCTGGCACACAAGTGGGTACTCCTCAGTCCCTGCCCTTGAGCCCCAACTAGCCCTGTCCACATTGGGCTGCCAGGAAGCCAGACTTCAAGGAAGGCTGCAGGGCAGCCCTGAGCACCAGGCACTCACAGCGTACACGCCATTCTAGGCCAGCACTGGAGATGGGCCACCTAGACGTCACCTAAAACCAGAGGAGGACCAGAACTCTCCAGTGGTACACCCTGCCACTTACACCCATCTGAAAACCTTTCTGCAGGTGGCACCCAGGTCAAGAGGCCAGACTGGCCCTGAACCATGGGAGGGCATTGCCCTCATTAGAGCTCATAAAACTCCAATGGCCAAGACCACTCAGGGCACTAGCAGACAGGTGACAGGTAGGACACCAGTAAGTTTCATTCTCCCTGGAACACTCTCACATCTGGGCTGACAGCCAAGCAGCAGCCCTGCCATGGTCTCCCTCCAGCCCCTCTGGGCCCTGCCACCAGTACAGCCTGCACAGGTCCCCACAGCGACTCAAGCACACTCTCCACCTAAAACCCAGCTTGTCGAGGGCCCAGAATGGGTCCCTTCCCTCCTGAGCCTCATTGCCCAGAAAGGTCCATACTCTTCAAAACCCACTAAACTAAATTCCTGATTCCTGGGCCTGCCCCCACCCCAGGCTGTCCCAAGCTT